CTTGCCTTAATTGCCCTCTGCCTACCTAGCAAGGCATCGATTACATTCAATATTCTCTGACATTTATTTCCCAAGCTCTTATTATGCAGTCTCATAATGCCTTTCAAATAAACGCCACATTTCTCCTGGGGGTGACACGATTTAGTTGCAGGCATAATACCCATTCATACCCATTCATAATACCCATTCATAAAATTAAAAAAAGTAATTGGGAAGCCAGATAAGAAAAAAGTGAAATTCAGGAGAAAAGCATACTAAAATGTTGATTAATTTTCATGGGAACCTTATTTTAGACGGATTCAGACGGAGCTTCGCCGGTCTAGTCTCTAGACGTAGAGACGCACGCTAGGGCTTGAAAATGGAAACTGTACTGCAATAAAGACTTTTGTACATTACTACTGGCTAGCGTTGGTCCTCTGTGAGCTGGGACCTGGAGGCAGTCTCTGACAGTGGCGAACTGACCTTAAGGCTGGGGGGAAATGAGAAAACCAAAATTGACAGATACATTTTATGTTCAAGGTGATTTATAGAACATGAAAACCTGATGTATCCATCTGTTGCTTTTTCTTTAAAAAAAGTATCAAATGTAAAGTGAGTTCATACATAACTCACTTCATGGCTTTCATGAAGAAAAGGACATCTCTCCCAATGTTCTGTATCTTCTCTTGAAACAAAGGGGTCACTCTCCTCAAAGTTACATTTTTAATTTTTAATTTTGCTTTCAAGGCACTGCTGAACACATCTGACTCTCCCCCTGGCAATGTGGCAAAGAAAAAGAGAAGACTTAAATATGTGCATCTTTTTTTAATGACTCTTTTTAAGATGTTGCTGGATGGAAGTCATACTGCAGAGTTTTCTTAAGCCCTGATTGTTTATGGTTAGAATCGATTCTTGAGCAACTTCCAATTTTGATTCCAATACCTCGACCTCTACTCTCAGATAGAATATCTGTAATAGCTCCGCATTTGTATACTTTAATGATTACGGTTGCAATCTTGCATACACTGTTTGTGTCTCCTTCTCTTTTTTCAGCATCTGATCAACGTGATCAAGGCTTTATTGCAAACTGGCAGCCTTTATAACACCAGAGCAGGGCTGGCCAATGTGGTGCCCTTGGACAGCGATGGGGGAGAAACTCAATTCAGTTAACAGCTAAAAGCAAACTTATTGAATTTGCACTTTTCAAAGTATCGTGAGAACCAAAACTCAGCCTTCCTTTGAAATTCACACTTCTCCTAGTTTCATAATACACTTCTCCAAGTTCATACAAAAATACATATGTTAGGGCCAAGTGTGCATAAAAAGGAATATATTAGGACTCAGCTATACAGCTGCAAATATAAATGTTTTACGTGCATTATACAAATGTGATACTAGATGGCGATGATGGGCTAATGACAAATTCAATATATATATATAATAAATTGAGCATTTTCACAGTGTTTTTTTATATACGTGTAGATTCCACCTTAGTGAAAATAACACACTAGCATGCATTGCATCAGGGGAAACCGCTTGCAAAAATGTGTACAGCATTTTAGACCTGCCTTGTCTCAGTGCAGACAATGGCACAGTTTCATAAACAGGTGGGAAAATAAGCTCAGCGAATGGAAATCCCACCAGTTCCTGTGACAATGAGGATTTCTACTAAAAGCCTTAAACAAAAGCTGTTTACTTTCAAGTCTTAAAAGTCTGCTGCTCACCAGCTGCTTCTTTGACCCAAGGCTTTTCCCCCTATTCCAGAGGCCAAATTATGTTTCATTGTGATTCCGGTTAGCTTGGTCACCTTCTGAATCTAAAAACATTCTATTTATATCTATGATGGGATATTTGTAGTTTTTAATATATTAAAAAGTGCAACAGAAATCTTTTTTGGCCCAGGTGTGTCTCTACACACACACACACACACACACAGTAGTACGTTAAGGCAAATTAGTCAGCAAAGGTGAGGAAAAGCTTACTTAAGCTTTTTTCCACCTTTACGCATGTTTACATCTTCCCAGGGATTTGATAGTGCTTCAGCAAAAATGGTGTTAAGTCAGCATTTGCAAGGCTGTGGCTCTCTCTCATAAATTTCTGGCACTAGAGAATCCCCATGAACCAGAGGACTGAGCAATAGAAAATCTGAAATTATAGACGTTTTGTTTCAATTGTAAAGAGAGCTATGGAAAAGTAAATAAATATAATATTTCTATTCCATAATAATTATAATTAGAATATGCTGCTCATCTGGGCGACTCCCAACAAAATATAAAAAACACGGTTACTAGATATTCCAGGTGGGTATGTGTCACTTTACAAAATAATATAAGCAAAGAAAGATAGATCTCCACCCCCAAGGAACTTCCAATCTAATTTGCACAATGGGTAAGACAAAGGGAGGGTAACAAGGGAGTAATATATGCAAATACAGCTTGAGTCCCACAGGCAGAATGAGGAGTTCTATCCGACACCGTTGTCCCATTTGCACAAAACTTCCACTTACAAAACTGAAGTTCCCCTCCCTCTCTTTCCCCAACCAGCACCCCAAATCTGGCCCAGAAATGGGCATTTTCTGCTGTTGCCCCTGCTCTGTGGAATGTGCTTCCCTCTGTGCAACCACCAGTTGCTTCAGGTGACGTCTCCCTCTTGATGTCAACAATGAAACCGAATAGCCGTGGTGTCTGGGAAATCAGACTGAGCAGAATATAAATATAGATTGATTCACCACTTGAACCAGATCTGACTTGGTTTGCCTAGGAATAGGTCACGAACACAAGCTATGTACTCAGATACACGTGTAATCTGAGAGGTGTTTCTGTCCTCCTTACCTTTAAAATATTAAAAACAGGATCTGACCCATGTTAGTTTGGTAAAGATTGCGAGAGTTAGCACGGCCAAAATCCTCTTTCACCAATGTATATACAGTGGTACCTCAGGTTAAGTACTTAATTCGTTCCGGAGGTCCATTCTTAACCTGAAACTGTTCTTAACCTGAAGCACCACTTTAGCTAATGGGGCCTCCTGCTGCCACCACGCAATTTCTGTTCTCATCCTGAAGCAAAGTTCTTAACCCAAGGTACTATTTCTGGGTTAGTAGAGTCTGTAACCTGAAACGTATGTAACCCGAGGTACCACTGTACAGAGAACCTGGAAGCCAATTCAGGGACTGCTCCCACTGATTTCACAAAGGATACACATGTGTGTTGGATATCTGGGGTGGGGAATCAGATGAGCTTGAAAACAGACCACAACCTATGTTACGCAACAGGAATGTCAGATGTTGACAGTCTCTGACTTAGACACATAAGAAATTATCATTTGTCAAGGGCACCTTATGATGTTCTGCATATAACTACTCCATAAGCCAGCCTTGAACAACCTGATACTCTCCAGATGTTTTGAACTACAACTCCCATCAGCCACAGCAATGCTCATCTAAAACATTTGGAGAGTACCAGATTGGCAAAGGCTGCCATAAGCCAGTCTCTCAAGTGTTGAACAAAATTTTGCCACACACCAATGCCCAACCACATATTAAAAGGAGAAGCCTTTGCCACCATGAGATAGGATGTTACGCATCGCCACTTGCTAAGGTGATCATATGTGTTGGTGCCACACAGTAAATAATCCGATGGGTGCCCATCTGACATACATACATACATACCCCCCACAGAGATCAAGGCACCATATACAGTCCCATGCCATCCCCACATTTTATTCTCACAACAATTCAAATATTTAAGGTAGGTTGAGACAGGGTGACCAGACCAAAGTCAGACAGTGGGCTTTATATTTGAGTGAAGGTGAGAGATTTGAACCTGGGCCTTCCCAGACTGCCAGGCAAGCTTCCCAGTCTCAGAGCAGAGCTTTCCTGATGGTGAAAGGAAGCAGGGTGGTTTCAACATTTTCCAGGGACATTTTGTCCAGACATCTACATGAAGCAAATGTAATCTGGTTGAAACCTACAGGGAACCAGGCGGAGGGCCTTCTCGGAAGTGGCACCTGCCCTGTGGAACGCCCTCCCACCAGATGTCAACTACCAGACTTTTAGAAGACATCTGAAGGCAGCCCTGTTTAGGGAAGCTTTTAATGTTTGGTGCATTACTGTATTTTGTTGTTGGAAGCTGCCCAGAGTGGCTGGGGAAGCCCAGCCAGATGGGCGGGGTACAAATAATAAATTATTATTATTATTGCTAATCACACTCGTGGTTTATTATTATTATTATTATTATTATTATTATTATTATTATTGCTAATCACACTCGTGGTTCCATTAGCCATCTCCCCTGAGTCTTCATTTTTTAATGTTTTAATTAATGCTTATTGGAATAACATAATGGTTGTTGTGTAGCACTGGCTTAGATTTTATTCCTGAGAACAAGTCATAGAATTGCAAAATCATAGAATTGTAGAGTTGGAAGGGACCACGAGGGTCAACTAGTCCAACCCCCTTTTCACCCAATGTGGGGCTCCAACCCACAACCCTGAGATTAAGAGTCTCATGCTCCACCAACAGAGCTATCCCAGCTCTTAAGTCATCCTCATAAGAATGATCTCACTGCAAAGAGTCAGTCCTATGTGGAAAATCCAGCTCAGATCACAACTCCATGGATTGGATGGAATGGACAACAAAGGCTCCCGGATTCAGAATGCATGCTTACAACAAATGCAAAAAAGCACATTAAACAAAGCCATGCTCTTATCATAACATCCAGGCTGTGTTTCACAAATACATCAAGACAGTGAGGAAAGTGTCCTGAAGCATGTCTTTGGTGAGGAAAGTTAATGCCCTCTTCATTAGACCAAACAGATGTGCCTTCACTCTTTGAAAGATTATTTTGCTTATAGTCATCAAGATTGATGATCTGACTGACTCATCGCTGCTGCGCCACACATCCTATTCAGCCATCATCTTTCACTTTGCTTTGCTGTCTTTTCAACCTGAAAGGTGTAAAACGGGAACATCTCACAGAGAGGGAGAGAGAAAACACAGGCTTTTAGCACATCATGGAACTTACCAAACAAGCGTTGATGGAAGAAGAACTTGCCCGCTATCAGTCCGGTAAGGATGGCAAGCAGCCACAGGAACACTTTTATAAACCTCCAGCCTCCTCCCTCGGGGTATTTGTTTGCTACAAAAGAAAAGCAGTTCCCCACGACAATGACATTTGCTTCGGTTTGGCTGTGAGAGACGGGATCCTCGGCAAATATCAAGAAGTTACAGAAGATCACCAGGTAGGCCACTATCAAGCGGGACCACGGATGCTGGAAGTAGTAGCGGAAGTCTTTGGCCATCCTCAGACCCTTCAGCCCCTGCATGCAAAAAGCAAAGAAGGCATTTGTTCTATTGTGTTACTGGATGTTGCACTATGTTATAGACTTACAAGGTCTATAACAGAACATTAGAAGTCAGACTCTATTGGACCATCTAGGCCAATTTGTTCAACACTGACTGGTAGTAACCATGCAAGGTTTCACAGGAAGTCTTTTCCAGCCCTACCAGGAAATACCAGAGCTTGAACCCAAGATCTTCCACATGCAAAATGGATGTTCTACCATGGAGCTATGACCCTTCCCACTATACATCACTTCCCCCTGCCACCCCAGCTTCTATCCTCTTTAAACGGGCTCTGGAACTGGCTGCCTGTTTGTGTGACCCTGTTTACCAACTCCAATGGGGGCACACTGAGCAGCTGGCGAATGCTGACAAGAGAGAATGGAAACCCTTAACTGAAGGCACTTTCATTCACTTAGGCCAGCTGCTTCCCAAACTTGGGTTTCCAGCTGTTTCCCATCATACCAAGCTAGCAGGACCAGTGATCAGGGATGATGGGATTTGTAGTCCAAAAACAGACCCAACGCTGATTTAGGCAAAGAGCAGCTTTTGCTTCAATTAATAGGGAAGATGGATATGAAATCCGCAGAAGCCAGAATGTTCATTCTCATTTCATTGCAGGGGGCTGGACTAGATGATACCTTCCAACTCCACCATTCTGGCTATTCTAGCTCCTTCACTTCTTTGTTCCTGGATTAACGGTGGGAATTCCAAAGGAAGTCAGGCAGGACTATGGTTGCCACTGGAATCAATGGGTCGTAAAATGAATCACAACTAACCAGTTCTATGATTTCATGGGACTAAACCAAAAACTAACCTACTCTGGATTTGGGGCCCATGTTTACATAAATAGGGTGGGAAGAGGCGTCAGGGCATGTAGCCGTCATGCATGCAAATGCTTTCAATATTCAACTAATTAGAAAAGCGGTGGGTTAGCCTTTTTTTGAGTGTTTTAAAGAACTTTGGTGATTTTTGAAGCTCTTTCCAAAACGTTTCCCAAACAACCGTGCATCCGCAAGACGAAACAAAAATCGCAAGACGATCCAAAACGCGTCGGAAACGAAATTAATTCTTCTTGCGAGGCACCACTGTAATAGAAAAAGTTCTGCATGAGCATCACAGAAGCTAGGATTTTCACCCAGTCAAGACACTCTTGCATGTCTAGGAAGGTTAAAGGTACCCCTGCCCATAGGCCAGTCATGTCTGGACCTCTTAGGTGCGTCGCTCATCTCGCTCAAGAGGCCGGGAGCCGGCCGCCATCCGAAGACACTTTCCGGGTCCCGTGGCCAGACCGTGACTAAGCTGCAGCTGGCGGATCCAGCACCAGTGCAGCACACTTAAATGCGCGTTTACCTTCCCGCCTATAAAGCGTACCTATTTATCTAACTTGCCACTTTGACGTGCTTTCGAACTGCTAGGTGGGGCAGGACCGCGGCAGATCTTGCATGTCTACTCAGAACTAAGTCCTGCTGAGATCACATAACTTACTCCAGGGTGTTTATTTAGGCTGGGAGTGAGAGTAATTGAATACAGTGAACTGATAAATCACGAATATTTTAATTAATTGATGCATTTGTCAATTAAATTTGCATATGGATAAAAACAATGGGTCTGAAGCAAACAACAGACTTCCTTTGGTTTTAGAACCTGTGGCCCTCCCAAGCTACAACCCTCAACATCCTTAACCTCTGGCCATACTGACGTCATCTGATGAAATCCTGCAACACCCCAGCTGTGCACACCCTCCTGAGTGCTTCGCATCCAGGGTGCTCCCACCACAGGTTTGTGAAGCTGTGAACACACAGTGTTAGCCACTGTAGTGGCTATCCCGTAGTTTCTTGAGAAATGCTGTGTCTTCCCTAAAGCAGCTTTGATTCAATTTGAAAACATAGGACATATATGAAGTCACTCATGCCCCCTCTCCATCCACTAGTACAGACAGATAGAAGGAAACTTGGAAACACATCCAACCATACTAATGTGTAAAATGGTGACCATAGGGTCCCCAGCCATGTTTTAATTGATGCATGTGTCATAGATGGAGCACTGATCATCAACAGGATTTATAGTTACCGTACTTGTATTAAAATAATGGGTTGGATTCAAAGGTGTGCAAGTTGAAGGTGACAAAATTCAACCTATATCTGTCTGTCTGTCTATATCTCCTGACTAATCCCCATAATTGAGTGATTTAAAAAGCTATCCTCAATTGCATGTTGCAGACTTACCTAGAAGCAAGCATCTCACTATAGTCTAAGAACAGGTTTTCCTGCAAATCACCTTGGACTTCTCTTAATAGCTGCACAGTATGCCAGTAAATGAATGACTCAACTGAGATAGACCTTAAGACTGTTGGCATTAGTAACATTCACTTTAAATGAATGCAAGGAGCCAAGGTGACAATATTAAGAATACTCCAGATAGAACCATTCTGGACAGCCTTATTAAGGGTTATACTCACAAGTGAGCAGAATTTACAATGTTTTTGGACACTGAGAAAGCATTTGATAACGTCTCCTGGAATTTTATGCTTAAAGTAATGGAGTCTATGAGATGTGGGGACACATTTATAAGGGAAGTGAAAGCGATATATACAGATCAATCAAGAAAACTGATGGTGAGTAATTTATTGACGGAAAATTGTAAAATAACCAAGGGAACAAGACAAGGCTGCCAGCTATCACTCTTATTGTTCATAGTAGTTTTAGAAGTATTGGCGCAAAGAATAAGAACTAATCAACAAATTAATGGAATAAAAGTGAGACAAAGAGCATACAAACTAAAGGTATTTTGAGATGATGTGATGATATCAGAAGAAGATCCAATAAAATCGATCCCAAGGGGTCTCAAAATCAACAAGAATAAAACCAAATTGTTGGCTAAGAATTTAAAAGATGATGTTAAAAATAAATTACAAGAAATATCTGAGTGGAGATCATGGGAATCAGAGTGCTAGTTCTTCCTCCACTCCCCAAATCACTGCCCCACATGCCCTCCGAAGGGGGCGATCTGCAGCTGAGTACATGGAGGTTCCCACCCATTTGTGTACTTCTCCCTCTATTGTTAACCTCTTCTTGATCCATTGTTCTTAGCTGAAGAAATAACACTGCTTGCATGTAGCTTAGGAGTAGGGGGCGTGTTGTGGGAAGGCTGCTCCTCAGACATCCAAACTGGAGTCTCAGCTTTCCTGGATGGGGGCTTGAGCCAGAAAGTAATATAAGAAGAATATTCACGGCTCTAAATCCAACCCTGAACGCTGACCCAAGGCTTACAGGCAGGGCTGTTTTTCAGCTGGAACTCATCAGAACTGAGTTCCAGCACCTCTCAGGTACTTTCCGGCACCTCTTAGGTGGGCGCTACTGCCATTCTAAGAGAAGGAGGGAGGTGCTCATGGAGAGCTCTGGCACCTCTTTTTCTAGAAAAATAGCACTAGTTACAGGGGAATAGAGAACATTGCTGCGTACTAGTTTGAAAGCGTAGCTGCTCTTTAAATGATGTCATCGCATGATGGTGTGTACCAATGCAAAACCCTGGGTACAAACCACTCCAGTGCGTTTCAGATGTTATGTGTGTACACAGCCTCTGTGAGCTGAGCAAGCTTCCAGCTCCCCCTTCTCCTTTCTTTTATTTACTCATGGGTATAATGCTTGAATTGGGATAAAGGATATGTCTTATGCCAAGGAGGCTTTTCCTCCTTAGAAAAGGCACACATTTAAATTTATAGGTGGCTTTTAAGCCACAAGGGCCCTCATAGCAGCTTACCATAAAATAATAACAGACCATAAAACCATCAAAAAGCAACTCATAAAAGAAAATGCAAAGGCAGAGCAACAGCTCCATCCCAAATTAAAAGAAAGGGGCAAGCTCAGTTTTCAAGAAAGCTTAACGGAATGTGTTGTGCGTGTGTGTGTATGAAGTCTGACTTTTGCCACTCAGAAAGCACTGTCTACATAGAAGTGGCCCATCAAGACAGAAGAAGCTGGGACCTCCTTGTAACTATGGGGCCACTGGGCAACTGTTCAGGAATTTCAGGGCTTTTCTCTGGCTGCGCATTGTGGAACTCTGCAAGGTAAAGGTAAAGGTAAAGGAGCCCTGGACTGTTAAGTCCAATCAAAGGCGACTATGGGGTTGTGGCACTCATCTCACTTTCAGGCAGAGGAAACTGGCATAGACAGCTTTCCGGGTCATATGACCAGCATGACTAAACCACTACTGGAGCAACGGAAAACCGTGACAGAAACCAGAGTGCACGGAAATGCTATTTACCTTCCTGCCGCAATGGTACCTATTTATCTACTTGCATTGGCATGCTTTCAAACTGCTGGGTTGGCAGGAGCTGGGACAGAGCAACAGGAGCTCACCCCATCGGGGGGACTCGAACCGCCAACCTTCCAATCAGCAAGCCCAAGAGGCTCAATGGTTTCACTTTGCAAGTAAAGATCAGCAGGGATGGATGGAGGGATGCCACTACCCAATCCAGCCCTACCCCCTGTTAGTTTGCCCCCTTAGGCAGGTATAGAACTGTGCTGTGCATTGCTTTAACTTTTACAATCCCTACATTTCTTATCAGGTTGTTAGCTGCCTTGAGTTCCGCTTTAGATTGGTGTGGACATACACTGAGCACCATGCACAACAGCTACACATTCAGCAACATATAATTTCTGTTCCTCCCATCTAGTATTGTTCATGCATCACGTCAGACAGCTTAAGTGGGGGGTCCACCAGGACAGCATCAGTGAGCGCACAAGTGCCTGCAGAGGTCTTTCTTGGCACTCCCCCCCCCGGGTTTCTCTGTCCCTCCCCAGCCACTGAAATGTGGCTTGAAAGAATCACTCTGCTCTTGCCAATATCAAAGGTCCTGGTGTGCTATGCTCTTCCTCCATGGCTAGAGGCAGTAATGCTTCTGAAAACCAGTTGTTGGAAACCACAGGAGGGCAAGAGTGCTCCTGGGCTCAAATCCTGCTTGCAGGTCCCCGTCCCCCCCAGGGTATCAGGTCGGCCACTGTGAGAACAAGGTGCTGGATCAAATAGGCCATTGGCCTGATCCTGTAGGCTCATTTTACATTCTTCTGGGTGTACTCGGTTCCTGGGTGGTTGTAGGGCCCACAATAGCTCCTCGGGGTTGTAAACGGGCACACGGGCTATTTACAATTTAAATTCACAATTCAAATAAAATACAAAAACAACAGCGATATAAATACAAAAATATATACACAACATGAATATACAACTATTGTGAGTTGTATCTATCTATATGCACTACTACAGGAGAAGAAGTGTCTCCCAAATCCAAAACACTGAATAGGGGAAACAGCAATGTTGTGGCTCCAAGCAAAGACTGTTATGAATAAAGGATAGGTAAAATTCCTGGAATCTCCAGTTAATGGATCTTAGGTGGGCAGGGCTGGAAAAGACATCTGCCAGGATTGGAAAGCCAAAGTCACGGCCCATTAGACGTTAGTGGACGACTACTTCCTTCACCCCCATTGCCTGATGAGAACTGGAATCAAACAATATCCAGAGAGCCCTTCTCTCTGTAGTAGACAGTTGACAGGATCAATGGTCTGACAGATTGATTAACAGAAACTGTGGCTCAATGTTAGCAAGAGGACAATCTCTGCAGCTAAACTATGGAGGCTTTCATACACTTCAATGCTGAAGCGTACCAATCAATTTATTGTATCCAAACCTAAAATGATTGCAAAAGAATACATTCCACAGACATGCATTCCATTGTACTGTTCTTTAGGATTCTGATTTAAAAATAAAGGTCTGCAAAATCTGAACTTCAGTAAATGAATTTAAAACTGAGCATACTGTTTGTTCTATCAAAAAACACACAGCCAGTTCATTCTGCAGCTTCGTTTTGCATTGATAAAGATAACAAAGCATCTATTATTGTGTGTTTTTCCAGAACGGTGTTCCAGTAAATAGACCCATAGATCTTTCTTAAAGAATGTAACTGGCAACAATGCAATTGTGTCAAAGTCACAGGAACTAGAAAAGCAAGATTTAAGAAATGCCAGAGATAATTGCAACATTTGTTTGGTGACAAGTGTGAAAGCAAACAGCGCTCTTTATAAATCACTGGATCCAGTATTTGCCATCATTTAAACAACACTAGTGGTTTTTAACATGAGCAATTGGTGATGTTTCAGGCAACTATATAACCAAATCTTATCTAAATAATTCAGAAAGTTACCTAGATGTTGTGAAAAAGTTACTGTCAGGGCAATAAATGAATTTATTCAGTGTGTATATGAGCAAGGGAAGTAGACTCATGGGACTAAGATCAAAACAAGAAAGCCATAATTTTAAAACCATCATTTTGATCTCTAAAAGAACTTTTAAACAAAAATATACTTTTGTGGGGTTTTAGATATCAAAGCACTAGTGAGGAGAAAGATAACTATGCAGCCCAGCAGTGGGAGAATTTCATCTCTACAGATGTTGGATTACTGCTCCCATCATCCCTAACCATTGGGCATGCTGACTGATGCCCATCCAGCAATACCCAGAAGGCCATATATTAGCCGCCCCTGATATATAGCACACATTGTCCCTCATATACCTTATACTAGCAATACATACAGCCGGACTATAAAGTAGGACAATGATATCCCCATGTTTCAAACGAGGAACTGAAAGGAAGATCAGATGTCAAGTATTGTTAGATTTGAACTGGGAGCCATGTCGTTTGCCACTATGAGACATCATCTCTATTCCTACAACACTACAAAAATAAGCAAATGCAAACCAACTGTGTTTCCTAGTCAGCATTAAGCCAGGTTTATACGACAGGGTTTTACAATAGGACACACTAGAAAGGCACGTTAAACAGAAGAGGAGGCAAAGCTAATGGACATGATACAAGTCTGAGCCTTACATTAACCATATACCTATTCTCACTTTAAAAGGGTAAAGGAAAAAGAGAGCTTGATTCCAACAAGAACTTGCCCCCAAGCCTGTTCTCGGTTCTGGGTCGTGCAAGGCTAATAACAGAGGACCTGTCCATCACAGGCATCTGGGATTAGGGGTAAGTGTTTTCAGGGCTAGGGATGCATTTTGGAAAAGAAACATTGCGCGAGGCAGAGAAGCCTCTCAACGATGGGGCTGTAAAAACAAACCTGCTAAGGGGCTATAGGAACGCGGAAGCGAGCAACCCCAGATGTAGGGGGCGGGCTGCATTGTAAAGTGGAGGTTCAAAGCCCATGGCGAGGTGCTCATCAACACGCAAGCACCGAAACGTAGGTCTCTTTTGAATTTATTCCAGGAATACTATTTCCAGTCACAGGGTTGAGGGGGATGTCCGCTCCCCTACCAAACGCATATTTTTAGAAAGTGTGCAGCAACACCCCCCACCCCCCCACCCCCACAAACACCATTTTCACACAAGAGGTGGGATAAAACTATACCAGCGAAAATTACCTTCTGTGGTATCAGCTTCTTGACGATAAGCTACCTCCCAAAGAATAATAAAAAGCCACCCCTAAGGTTGAGATCCGATCTTCAGCTCCGGACCCTCGGAGCGAGCACGTGCAGAGTGCCTTTCCCACGGCTACATAACCCCAAACGTTTTCGCCCCGGGCTCCCTCGCAGTCTTAAGCCCCGGCCCCTCTCGCGTGGGAACCAGCCTGGCGGGGCTCCCGTCTGAGCCCAATGCCGCTCCGAGCAGGGCCGAGCCGCGGCTCCCCCCCCCCCCGCTCCCTTTTAACACGCGCGATCGCGGAGTGGGAGGGTGGGGAAGGGGCGGGCGCCCGCGGAGGCAGCGCGCACTTGACTCACCGCGTCCTGCGCAGGCACGCTGCCCTCCACGACCGGCCTTTCTCCTTCCCTGCGCGGCTCCGGCGCCACGCGAGACAGTCGCCTCCTCGGCCGGCTATAAATATCCCGCGGGCGGACGCGGGGGAGCGCAGCCCGCCGGCAGCCCACGCCCTGGGGCCGCCCCTCGGGCCGCTGCCCTTAGCGGGCTTTCCCGGAGGACGTCTCCAAGGATCGCTTGGCCAGGAGGAGCCCGCGGACGCCGGATCAGTCCCTCGCTGCTCGCTTCCTGCGACAAGGCCGGCTGCGGCTGCGGGCTCCCTCGCCTCTCTCCCTCCTCTCTTTCTCGCCTTCCCTTTCCAGGCCTCGCTGGAAGAAACTAGCGCGCACCCGCCGGGGGCATCTCGGATTTGGAGAGCTGGGCGCGCCGAGGGCGCACGAGAGGCCCGGCCGGAGGAGGAGAGAGGCTGCACTGCTCCCCTCCCAAGGTCGCCCGCCTCCCGCTCGTCGCACGCCGGAGCTGGCTGTAAGTCACCCAGAGCCCAGAAGCCCAGAGATGGGCTTCTGCGTCTGGCATCTCCTCCAGCTCTTCCCACGTGGAAGGTTCCTGGGGTAGCATAGACCCTGCAGGGTAGGACAGCTGTAGCAGTGGATCTCCTCTGAGTGAGCATCTGACCTGAGGGTCTGCAACAGTATCAGCTTCCTCCTCCTCTCAGTTGACAAGGGGGCCAACTTGTTTAAAAAAGAAATATTTATACTTTTCAGATCTAGACATTTCATTGATTTTACAGTCATTCTCACATTTTAAAACTTGACTTCCTTCTGCGGTTCCTTAAATTTATTTTTAATATCTTCTGCATATCCAAATTAACATTATTTTTTAGTCTTCTTTAAATATATACTCTTACATAACTGCAGGTTATTACAATAATCCTGCCAGTATTTTTTTATCTGTGACAAGGGTGCCAACTTGAATAAAATATTGCCCAGATAAGCCCTGCCCAGCAAAATCGATCACAAGATGAACACACACACACACACTAGTTGGATGGCAGTGCCAGTGTACATACACTTTGGGTGGGCCTGCCCTTCTAAAATAGTTTTTGTGGGGGGGGAAGGGACCTCGGCCTCGAGAAGTTGGCTCAGGATCTTGCCTTAATTTTAAAATGATTAACACCTTGCACCGCTCTTCATCGTTTAAGCGTATCATTTAATGTTTCTTACTGTTTTATGTTCTACATTGTTTTAAATTTCATATTTAAAGCGTTTATTATATTGTGTTTTATGCATTCTGTTTTCTTCCTACCTTCTTTACTGGTCCTTGACCAAAATAAATATACGTACCAACTAACCGCTTCATATGTTCCTAATTTGTAATAAAGGTGGATAAGTTCGTGTAGTGAAGCATATAATCTGAAATTTCTGAATTATATCTGATTATATATATTATATTATATATATGATTATATATATGATTATATCTGAATATAATCTGAAATTTTGGCAACATCTCTAGTAACTCTTTTTCCTGTTGGTTCTTTGTATTGACTTTTGAAAATGCAAACTGCTTTGCAATTCTTATCTTGGAATGGGTGGCCTTTGCAACAAGCCTGTGAGACACACCACTAGGACAAACTCGTGCATCACACATTTGTTTATGGTGTACCATACAATACAATGCTTGCCTTGCATCTGCATTTGAGGTACATATTTTATGTTTGCTTGTTTTCAGTGGGTATACTTCTTGCTATTTGTGCCAGCCAAACCATCTCACTTTCTATTTATGTAACTTTCACTGCAACCCTACCTACTTTCGTAGAACTAAATCTAATTGAATTCAGTAGGACTTCTGAGTAAACAGTGTTAGGATTGGGGCTTTAGGAAGCTTCACTGAAATCATACTCTTTTTTTATTATTATTAAAAAAGAAGGTTTTTGAGGACTCCAATGGAGACCCAAGTTATTGCTTGCTAAGCAAAATACCAAATCTCTACCAGAAAGAACAGTTCCTTCTAATCTGACAATACTCTTGTAAAATGTTTACATATATAACAACTATAGGCAGGCATCAACTACCTCAGGTATGACAGGACTTCCAGGATTGATGGTTTTCACAAGAAACAGGGCTGGCAGAAGATATTTTGCTGCCTATGGTAAAGGACAAAATGGCACCCTCTCCCATTCCATGTACAGAAGATGAATGGACTGTCAAATCAATATCCTACTTAATTTAACATGGGTGATGAGACAGCATCTTCCAGTACATAAAGGCAGCAGGGCAGCTTGTTAAAGAATGCAATGCAGACTGTGTGGCACATGCCAGTGTGTCCTCACCTCACCTTGCTGCTGCTCCCCGTAGCTCCAGCATCTGCCGTCAGAGGAAGCTGCCTCAATCTGTCTAACAGCAGGGCCGGCTCTTACTAGAACTCTGATCTCCACGGAATAGAGGCTGTTGCAAAAGACGTACACTGAGCTCAGAATTTTGTTTTCAGTTCTAGAATAAACTATAGCTTAGTCTTTCCACACTGAATTGGGCCCAGATACTAATTGGCAGTCAGTGCAGCTGGGTCAGGATTGGTGTTATATGCTCAAACTCAGGTGAGAAACCTGGCCACTGAATTCTGCACCAGATATCCGCCCAGCCTTGAACAACGTTGTAATTTAACACCATGAGCAGAGTCTTCTATTCATTCCTGCATCCTGGCTTTATCGCCAGCTTCTAAAATTGTCAATTCAACTGTACCACTATGGTGTCATTTACAGGACAGAGAAGAGAAAAGCGAATTGCTGCACAATAGCTTTAGGACATAGTGTTCTATTCAGAAAAGAAAAGTCCATGATATGTATTCACTTCACAAGCCACAGTTTTCTGGAGTAGCAAAGTAACCCACTTTATCAGTCAATGCTAGTCAAGGTCATATATATATATATATATATATATGCAGGTTTTGGTGTCCTCGGGTGTCTTCCCGTGTAAAAGTTGGGGTGTCTAGGCGACGTTTCGACGAGGTCTCACTCGTCATCTTCAGGCTGGTGCTTTCGGCTTCTTGTTACTGGAACAGAGCAGGATCTCAGTGTTTGAGTTCCTATAAATACTGTTGAGGGGGTGTGGTGTATAGCCTCCAATGTTCTGGGCAGAGAGGAAGTTCCCAGGTTAGTGTGCCTTTTCTTCTTTTGTTCCTTAATTACTAGAGGGATATCTTGAGTGATTTCTTGAGTGATATCCTGAGTACCACTTAGGTGGGTCATTAGGTGTGGATTAGTTGCTAAAGCCTTCGTGTCTTGACCTCTTGAACTTTGTGAAGAGTTTTTCTGAGAAGATGGCTGTACTGCAATTAGTTGTGCTCTGGCTTGGCTTCGTGTATAGGGGCGAGCTGTGGTTTTGTGTCCTGTGCCAGCCAGATCTGTGTAGGGATTGCAGGGGGGTGCAGCATCCGGAGGTGCCACCATGGTTTGGCTACTGGATGGTGTCTGTAATTTATCTGTGGAGAGGGTCTGGGTTTGGGTCTGGTGTGGTTGATTGGTGATGGCGTTCTGTGTGCCTCTGGATCTGGTGTCGGTTTTTGTGGGGAGGGCTAATTTCCAGATGTCTGGCAGGCGGGATGTGTCGTCACGCTTGTTCATGTTGTGAGGGTGTTTCTCTATCTCGATGGCTTCCATGATTATTCTCTTGTGGTGATGTTCCATGTTAGAGAGCAATTTGGAATCTGCAAAATTAATTTCGTGTCCTGTTTCTTTCATGTGTTGGAAAAGAGAGGAAGTTTTTTCTTCTTTTTTGACGGCATTCTTGTGTTCTGCGATACGTGCATTTATTCGTCTGTTTGTTTGTCCAATGTACGTGGCTGGGCAGACTTTGCAGGGTATTTCATAGACCCCTTGGTTTTCCAACTGGATTTTATCCTTGGGGTTTCTGAGGATATTGGCTATTTTTTGGTTGGTGCAAAAGGCTGTTTTGATATTGTGTTTATGGAGGATTTTGCTAATTTTATCTGTAGTGCCCTTGATATAAGGAAGGAGGGCCATGCCATTGTTTTCTTCTGTGTCTTGGTTTTTGGGGGGTGTTTCTTTTTGCATTAGCTTCGTAACCCTGTTTTGCTGGTATCCATTGGCGATTAACACATTGGAGAGATTCTGTAACTCAGTTGTCAAGTGGTCTTTGTCAGCCAGGCGTTTGGTTCTGGAGATGAGAGTCTTGGCTACGGAGTTTATTTGTGCAGGGTGGTGGTGTGATTGTGCATGTAAGTAGCGGTTGGTGTGTGTTTTTTTCCGGTAGATAGTGTGTCCTAGGGAGCCATCAGGTTTTTTGTAGATTAGGACGTCAAGGAAGGGAAGTTGGTTGTTGGCTTCTATTTCCATAGTGAATTGTATTTTGGGGTGTAGGCTGTTGAGATGTGTGAGGAAGCTATCTAGTTTTTCCTTCCCGTGTGGCCAAATTACAAAGGTGTCGTCAACATATCTGAGCCAAAGTTTGGGTTTGTGTTCTGACTTGTCTAAAGCATTGGTTTCAAAGTGTTCCATGTACAGGTTTGCGATGACCGGTGAGAGTGGTGATCCCATAGGTGCTCCTTCTATCTGTTTGTATCTTTGTCCATTGTGGATGAAGTACGTGTTGGTTAGGCAGTGGTTGGTCAGGTCCAGGATGTATTCGGGGGGATTGTATTTGTTTTGAATGGCTGTCAAGGCTTCATTAATGGGCACTTGTGTGAAGAGAGATACAACATCGAAGCTCACAAGTAGGTCATTGGGATGTAGGTTTTGCTTCTTTATTGTTTCTATGAACTGGAAGGAGTTTGTAACGTGTGAAGAGATGGATTCTGCATAGGGCTGAAGTTGCTTAGCGAGAAATTTAGCGAGATTTTGTAGAGGTGAGCCTATGGAGCTGACTATTGGTCTGAGTGGTGTTCCTTCTTTGTGTATCTTGGGGAGGCCGTAGAGTTTGGGGCATCTGGATGATTTTTCTCTGGGGATGATTCTTAGCTGGATTTCTTCACTGATAGGAGAGGCTTTTATTTTGGATTTGGTGGTTTTTTCCAGATAGGTGGTGGGATCTGTTTTTATAGGTTGGTAGGTAGGGTCTTGGAGTAGATTTGATAGTTTTGCTACAAAAAACCTGATGGCTCCCTAGGACACACTATCTACCGGAAAAAAACACACACCAACCGCTACTTACATGCACAATCACACCACCACCCTGCACAAATAGACTCCGTAGCCAAGACTCTCATCTCCAGAACCAAACGCCTGGCTGACAAAGACCACTTGACAACTGAGTTACAGAATCTCTCCAATGTGTTAATCGCCAATGGATACCAGCAAAACAGG